GTTATTGGAACAAATGAATGCTCTGTAACATGCTGTGTATCCAACGCAAAGCACACACATTGTAAAACCTTCCTCAAGGGTAGCCAGTCCACACTGCATGGGCCAAAGAGTTGCACGCCAGACCATTTTGCGTGTTGTCCAGAGCCAGTGAGCATCTGAGGTGCCAGCACGGCATCCTAATAAGGGGATGTCAGGTTCAAGAACTAGCACGCCTGCCAGGCGATACCCGTGCGAGGAGGCTGCACCTAAACCAGCAATAAAAGAGGAAGAGGACACTTTACCAAAGAGGCTTCACTGGGGCTTTGCTGGAAACTTGGAGCTGCTGGAAACTTTTGTTGCTGCAAGAAGCCCCCAGTGACTGAAGAGACATGAGGATTCCTCTTTGTTTATACTGGGGTTTGTTTTATGTTCTGCAATTAAAGTGTATTCATGTAACCGCAGTACCTTGCTGAGCTGAGCTTCCTTTGACCACTCAAATCCATTAGAAAAGACCCTTGCTACCCACGGGCAAGAAAATGGCCTCTGGCACAACACACCTTAGAGACCCAACAAAGTTTTGGAGGTATTGATTTTCGAGAGTACCTTCAGGTGAAAGGAGCTTTAACTCTCGAAAGTTCACACCCCAAAAATCTTGTTGGTCTCTAAGAGTCTACTGGACTCAAATCTAGCTGTTCTGCTACAGACCAACACGGCTACCCTCTGAAATTATCTTCACATCAAGAAGGTTCTCAAAATATCCAGTATCTACGGGCCGGATCCAATGCTCACCTTCTGCCAGTGGAAGGCTGGAGGCAATTATTATTTTATTTCCAGTGCCTGAAGACACTCTGTGGCATCCTCGCTTATTGGGGAGACTGTTTCTCCTTTTAAACAGTCTCTGTGCACCTAAACTTGGTAGATTTCTGCTGCCACCAGGAATTAAAAATTCCAAATCGATCTATTTTGGTAGAATGACCCAGTGTCTGGGCGCTTCAGAGGACTATGTGGCCCTGAGGAAGGACTGTTCTGAATGCTGGGATAAGTTTAAACAAATAATGATTTATTTATAAAAGAACAAAATAGGTTTCTGGGTAATTTTGAACTGTTGTAGAAGAAAGAAAATATGACTGACAAGGCTTGGCGTCACACACAGTCTCTCATACACCAAAACTCCACTCTGACAGGTTTAGACACTCAAACTCTCTTTCATATATAGCCACACAGGCTGAACTCTCTCTCATATACAGCCACACAGGCTAACTAAAGCCCAACTGCTTCCTCTGTCATACACTCACAAAAACTCTCCACACTCATCTCTTCAAGAACACAGAATCCCCTCAGAGACATCTATCCTCCCACGCTCTCTGTCATCAGCCAATCACATCACACTTCTCTCCCTCTATCACTCTCCTTACATTACTGTAGTCAAACTAAACATTTAAAGAAACACACACACCAAAAATGGAATCATTACACACCCATATGGCATTGAATGCTATCCTGAAGTCCCCTCAACCCCAGGAGACAGTGGCTGGCAGTGGAGGAAGAGTGCTGCAACAGGAAGTGGGGAAATTCCATGAGTAGAGGGCAGCTCCCAGTATTTTGGATGCAACCCAGTGACGTTTATATGTATATATAATCTTAAACAGACTATATATTGTGGTTGTAAACATATAATCATTTGCCTGTAATATCCTTTTAGTCTTGCATGCCTAAAAAGAGCAAAAGCAGATGAGCCCTTAACATGGTGATTCCAGCAGATCAACGAAAGAGACCAACTGCCATTAGATCACTGAAGAAGCATAGTGCTTAAAAAGCCATGCCACTCCTCCCCCATTCATCAGAGGGCAGCTGCCTCAGACATTACAGAGTGCATTGCCAAAAACACCTGATCAGAAGAGGCCCTTAATACTAAATTAGGGATTTTTGGGCAGGCGCCAATTTAGGGCGGTCACTTGTCCACACAGAGATAGCAATAGGGACAAGACTTTTTCCTCTAGACCTGTTTGTAATCCTAGTAGTACCCGAGCTATAAACCTTTAAGGCACAAAAGGGTTTCAACAAGCAGCTTATACGGTAACTACTTCGTCCTAGTACTGGCAATGGAGCACTGGCTTGGCCCTCTGCCATTCCCCTAACCCATGAGGAGGTGGTGGCAGCTACAAGCACGGACAGCTTCAAGAGGGAATTAGATAAACATATGGAGCAGAGGTCCATCAGTGGCTATTAGCCACAAGGTAAAGATAGGAACTCTCAGTCTGGGGCAAGGGATGCTCTGTATTCTTGGTGCTTGGGGGGGGGCAACAGTGGGAGGGCTTCTAGTGTCCTGGTCCCACTGCTGGACCTCCTGATGGCACCTGGTATTTTTGGCCACTGCGTGACAGAGTGTTGGACTGGATGGGCCATTGGCCTGATCCAACATGGCTTCTCTTAGGTTCTTATGTCATCTAGAAACACTAGTTGTGGACTAGTCTTTTATTGAAAGGAGCCTCTACTTTCTAAACTGCAGCATCATGGAAATGTTTTCCACCATTCTACCTGCTCAGGGGCAAGGGCCAAGCACAAAAAGCCATGAAGAGGTCCCTGTGGGCTGTCACTGGGCAGGCTGTGGAAAGGCTTGGAAAGCTGTTGCTGAAAATAGGTCTTCCATATATGTTACCTTCTGCTGGCTGACAGAGAGCCCATGAACCAGCAGCCTTTTTTAACGCTGGTGGGAAGGGTGGAAGAAGCCTGTATTTAACTAATTAGCTCTCTATACATTTTTAATAGGATGCTTCTCATCATGACTTCTACTCTAGCAGTTCTCTACACCTATCCTTCCAGTGCCATTAACAACAGTGACACAAACCACAGCTGGATCTGTCTCAGGTGTGATTTCCCACTGACAAACATAAGAGAACAGATATCTCAACACTTCTATTTTTATAAAACTTATGAGATGGTTTCTAGACCATGACATCCACACTATGATTTTTCTCCCCTCTTCGAGTAGGGCTGTACTACACAACTGGAAGCATCGGATGCATTCTGAAAAACAGCAGGTTCAGATTCTCATAGGACATTCAAACATGCACTTCAGACAGACACCGGAGGACCATTTCAAAGTTATCATCTCTAACGAGGAACTGAATTTCCAAGGACAAAAGTCAGAAAGAGAATTTTCAACTAGGACCATCATCAGGGCTGGTGCTTGCGATGTTTCAATTCCATCTGACTTGGCCTTGAATATTCCATAGAGAAAAAGAACCTGTTCAAACATTGCCTTAGTCACACATAACCACTTTTAGCGGTGTCAGTGCTCTCTTCAAGTGCAGGGTGTTATGACTTAGACATCTCTTTAATTTCTTTAGAGATTTCAATCATCCCTGCCTTAAACACTTGAATGTATAGCTACAACAACCAAGAGAATACATTTGTGAGGAATTTCTGCCTGCCAAATTGATATGACAAAATAAACCTGCTCTAAAATCGGAGAGAACAATCTTAATTGCCTCATTGAAAATACACTTCACCAGGATTTTTTTAAAGCAGTATTTAGTTGACAGATTCCACCCTTAAAGTGAAAAGACCCAATAAACTACCATTCATTGCAATACCAAAAGTTAGAGAGATGAAGGTTCACTGAACTCTTTTTTGTTTCTTTGTATTCAAATCCTTTTGCGTTTGCATTAATACAAATATCGGAGATAAAGAGTTCTGCTTCCATGAGTATTTGAGAAAATAAATGTACAGCCTAGTAGTATACACAAATTTTCATGAAAAATGCAAACAAAATACGTGTAGCAGCTTTAACTTAGATTATCATTTCTACAGTATTATCTATGCACAAAATGCTTTACACATTAATTCATTTCTTCTTCGCAACATCCCGGTACAGACGTAACATTCTTGATTGCACCTATGGTTTTGGGACTGCAAGGATGCTGTGGAATCACGCGCCCTTCTCTATTAGTCTCTTCTGTCTCTGGCATGAGCCTGCAGCAAGCCATCGTCAGCAGCAGTCAGTGCAGTTAACAATGCAAATGCATATTCTATAACAAGTGAATAAACAAATGCTCAATTTATTATGTTTATCAGCAGGGGTCATTTCATAGAAAAAGAGCTAGGGGGACTCATTGGCATAACTCATTAGCATATGCCACACCCCCTGACACCAGGGGCCCGGCGGTGGACCTGCAAGGCCAGCGGGAGTGCGAGGAAGCCCCGCCAAGGCCCTCCCTGGCCCTAGGCAGGCAGGGGTGGGGAGAGGCAGGGAGGAAGCAACTTACCCTCCCTCTTCTCCTGCCTCCTCCTGGCTGAATGAGGGCTGGAAGCGGGGCGGCCGGAAGCAGGGGGCGGGGCTTCGTCATGTGCCCCGCCCCCCTGCATCTCACCCGGGGGAACTGTGTTCCCCCACGTTCCCCCCCGAAATGACCTGTTTATCAGACACATCCAGACTTTACCAGTGAAGTGTCTAAAGCCATCTCGTCTGTCTAAATTTTTTATGATACCCACGTGGAACAAAGCTACCGAGGCCCAGTTTGATAGTTACGAAAGACTACGTGGCACCTACAGGAAATAATCCTGGAGACTGCTGAAATACAGTTGTCACAGACTGGTGATTGGGAGAGCTGTAGAACTTCACTTACCCTAACAAGAACAACAACAATAGCAGCAGGTTGCAGGTCCAGGTGTTCTAGAACTCTTCTGTAGCATACTGACTGGTGCAAAAATATGGACCTTTGTGTAAGATTGTTAATGTAAAACCACAAATTAGTGTTACAGTTTACTTCACGAACTGCATTTATCAGCATAATCCCAGTACCAAGAACTAACAGATGCTATCCTGGCCCCATAAGAACCTGTATAAGGGAACACACTGTTTCCACTGCAGACATTATACTGAATTCAAAAATACTCACTTGAGAAGTAGTGTTGACACTTCATGATATTATTTGAATCTACATAATCAGGAACACTATAAAATCATCACAATTACGGGTTGGATCTAATGATTATTACCACTACCAGCCATCTCTTACCAGGGAAAATTTATTCACAGGACTGTGGGACCCATATGGAGTAACAGCCATACGGGCTGGGGAGGCAGCAATGGGGAACGGAAAAGAGAGAAATTGTTCCCTCCCATCCCTTGCATGAGCAGAGACCCATTAACAGCTGAGGAAGAATTAAAATAATGTTGTCAAAGATACGCAGCTCTGGGTTGTCTGAAGGATGATGTCTTCTATGCAAGAACAATTGCAGCAAAGCTAAGTAAGAACTGGCATTCATTTACGTATTTATTACAAGTCTAATAAATATGCCACCATCCATCCAAACTAAAAATGCTCAACTCCTGTCCAATGTATTTTAATACCATTTAAAATATTGTCTTATAAATCCCATATGATTTAAAAGACCTCCGAGATCAATTTGCATTCCTAGTATTCAGGACCCTCTGATTTTACAACTCCTTCCCAAAACAGATGCTTGAAATTAGTTTCCACTTCAAATCATTTTTCCTTGCTCCATAGTATTTACACTTGTGTAGAAGCACTCCCTCTTTGCAGTGAAACCTGAAATTAGTTCAATTACTGCAACTCTATTTGTTCACACAACAGAAACAGTTTCTGCAATGTAGGCAAAATTTACTAAGGAAGCTAACCTGGGATGGTGATCCTTTGTAGTCAGCACAATAAATTTAGATAATTCCGATCCATAAAACCAACCCCAGTAAACTAATTCTTAGTCAGAAGCGTTGAAACTCTAAAGCACAGGTTATCATGGCCCCTGATTTCTTTGAAAGCTGTAAGCAAGCAAGCAAGCAGCTGGCACTCACTAAGTTATCACATCTGGTGTTTATTTCCTTAAACTTCCAACCCTTTAAGGAACTGTTAGCTGACCAATTAATACCGACCTGTAATTTAAATAAGAGTTTCCAGAGCAAATCCCATTCTAACAATACATCCATAACTGCAATCCATTACTGAAACAGACCAGGACTTATTAACAGCAACTATTTTGGACTATGATAAAAAAATTATTCCCATTGCCAAAATTTTTGAAGGGAGCAGAACATATATCATGCACCATTTCCTAGCAATTAAGTTCCTATTTTAAAGCCTTTTCAAGCTACAATCAGCTGCCAGAATAAGCACCTTTTAAACATTGGCCAACTCACCTATAGCTATTTTTAATGAGTACTAGAGCCTATACAGGTACAACGCACAGCACTTAAAAAAACTATTTTAAAATACCAATGGTTGTGAAGACTGAGACAGCCTTACAGATGTGAGTTCAGATTGCATTTGCCTACCAGTTGCTGTTTTCATGCATGAAAGTGCCTCTCTGGGACTTCCGGTTGATGGCGGCGCGCTAGCAGACTCACCTCCTGGACCTCCCGGGGGTGAAGCTGCGCACCAGCAGAAGGAGGGGGTGCGCATGATCGTCACCTCCCCAGGGGCCCGGTTGAAGGGTCGCTGGCCATGGGACTCTCTAGAGGTCGCCTCTTCGCCGGCGCGATGCCGGGAAATTGAGGCGCCTCTCCGTCCTGAAGGTTCTTCATGCTGTGTGGCTGAATGGAACTAAGTGACGCCGACTGGGGCAAGCACAGGAGATCGAGCAGAGAAACGGAGCTAAAACGAGGTCTGATGACCAATTATGAACGTGAGTTCAATTAAAGAAAGCTTCCCACCCCACCGAACACAAAGTGAGACTAGCGGGGGAGGGATGCCTCCCATGCGCATGAACTTTTAAGCGAGTTGGAGGGGGGGAGTGGAAGAGAAAGCGGAAAAAACTGTTAAGAAAGACTTACCAAGGCGAGTTTGAGCATATAAGCGCATATTCAGAGGCTTTTAAAATACTTGCTAAAGTAAACAATCCTTAAAGATGGCGGGGAAGAGCACGGAGAAAGAGAAACTTTCAAAAACGAAAGGAACCAAGACCAGAAGGAACCAACGAGCTGGCAAAGACATTGGCGGAATCCATGCACCCCCTGCTGGATCAGATGAATAACCTCAGGGAGCAGCTGTCAACAATGAATCAATGCATCACCACTCAGCAAACACAGTTGAACGAGACGCTTAAAATGATGAATCAAAAAGCTGAGAAGGTGAAAGAAGTGGACGCCACTGCCCAAAGGGTGAAGAAGAAAGTACAAAAACTGGGAAAGAAGCAAATCTCCACAGAAGAACAGCTGCTGCAACTACAAATGGAAAAGGCTAATTTGATTCTTTGCTTCCAGGGCATTCCAGAGACTAAGGGAGAGAATCTGAAGGAAATGATGAGTGACATATTGGCCCCAGTGACAGATATGAAGGCGGAATCTTTGCTGAGTGATATGGATGTGGCCTATAGGTCATATTCCGGATATATAAAGAAAAATAATCTGCCTGGGGAAATAGTGATAAGATTCTCGAAGAGGCATGTGAGGGATGCAATCCTGAAAGCGGCATCTGGATCACCCTTGAAAGTTGGAGACAATACTATCAGGATTTTAAAAGACATTCCATTTTAAATAAGACAAAGGAGAAAGAAATACAAAGATTTAGTACTTTTTCTCCAGACAAATGCAATTGGATACAGATGGCTGACTCCGGAGGGCGTAACCTTCAAAATTAAGGATAAAAAGGAGAAGATTGACTCTGTTCAGAAAGCAAGGGAATTTTTGAGAGTCCAGTTGGGAGCGCCAGAGGAGGAAGAAAAAGAAGGGATGGACAGTAAGTCCAGTGGCGAGCTGGACTTGGGATCTTCCGGAGAGGAGTCTCTATCAGAGAAAGGGGCAGCAGCCCCTAAAAGTCCTTATAAATTGCGGAAGAGATTGGGAAAGGGAAAATGAAGGCTGAAGGACTCTGAATTGTGCCTTTGAAAGTATTGAAACTAGATGCTGAGGGGTCTTACTTGTTAACAGTTAATTTTAAGATTTGAAAGAGATAATATTATATGTAACTCAATTCATAATGAGACTAGCGTGATTAAGAGATAACGTATATTTAAGCTAATTTGATGATCTCCTCTCTTGGGTTTTTAGTCAGTAGTGGGTATCTTTTCTTTATCCCTAAATGTAGTCCCCTCCCTTATTTCTTGTACAGTTTGTAGTCTTAATAAAAATGCAATTAAAAAATCCCCTTTGGGGGCCAAAAAAAAAGGGGGGGGGGAGAAAGTGCCTCTCTGCTCTCGCTAGCACTTTTAATTAATACAAAAAAACCAAAACCCTAGAGAGACAGACCCATAACCATTCACTGTGATTACTCTGCCAGTGCAGCACTGGATGCACTCATGGCAGTGTGGCACTATGGGGGGGATGCACTTGTGGCAAATACCCTCTTCTTTTAGCCAAAAAAAAAGAGAGAGCTATGAGCACAGAAACATAGCTCTAGGTGTTTTTTGGGTACACAGTGCAATAATATAGCAATCATAACATCAGTAGCGGCAGCAGTAGCAGCCTTATCAGCTGCTTGCTTGGATTTAGTTGTTGCTTACCCCTGGCAAGCAGGTACACAGAAAAGCTGGAATAAGACCTTTTGTTTTTAAATAAACTTTTTTACATTGTGGTCCCTGAATTTACTGAGGGGCGTAACCATCAACAGAAGGGCCTTTTTACTATTGTGCCAGAAACACAGGTGAGCTAATACGAAAGCAAGTGCTTTCTGAAACTTTCTGACATAATTATGTTCTACTTATATCTACTGTACTTTAGCAGGGGCAATGAGGAAATGGCTTGCAGCCAAAGATCAGAGTTCAACAGAGACAGCTAACTGTCACACTGGTCCCTGAGAATTCTGTATGTTACCTATAACAGAGAAAAGAGAGCCCTGCATCTCTCGCTATAGCAACAAAAACTCCGTTTCGATTCTGCATTCTGATCAGAAAATGCTGGTCCTCTGGGTGGGGTGAATCCAGGGCAGAACTTGAAAGGTCAAGGACAGAGCCAATGAGGAATCTAGAAACCATAGCACAATGGGTTTCCAAATACGATAGTGCACAAATGCTGAGAAAGAAAGAGAAAAAATGTCACTTGTGAGAAATATGCCCTTAAACAGTGGGAGGACAGTGAGAAATGTTATCCTGTCTATCAAACCTCCCAAGAGAGTTAAAGGAAGTCCCACCATTTGTCCACTCTCTCAACAAAGGTGAAACACTCACTATAAATCCACTAATACTCTGATCAAGTGGAGGTCTTCCATGAAACACTGTCAGAATACAAACCACAGTTTGGTTGAAAACAAAACTCATATGGGTATCATTATATCTCTCCCCAGGCTATGTCAAGATCAGTATTATGAGCATTTCTGAAGTGCAGACCGTTAACTATAGTTAAGCCTTCCACCTTCAGGGTGCAGACAAGGCAGTGTGGCTTTATACCAATCTACTACATGTATTACTGCTTGCTTTTCGCCCGCTCATTTGAACAGACCAACTTTATCCTTTTGACTGGTTACTTCTGGTTTAAAAAGCCTTGTCATCTTAACAGTATGGGATGGCTCAGCTGATGGAGTGACCCAGCTAAAACGACTAACATAAGCTGCTCAGCTTTTGATTCTTGCAGCAGACCCCGAGGTCAGACAGCATGAAACTGTTTCCACTTAATTTTCCAGTTAAGATATGATGGTTACTGTGTGACGTGGGCACAAGTTGCTGGAGGCGTTCTGCTGGCAAGGTTGTACCTCTTGGGAAATGTTCAAGGTAACTATTTGACTTAACTGCATATTTATTACTGCATGCCCACTATCCAAACAGAGAGGGAAAGTCAGCAGGGTAAAACTTTTCACCTCAGGCCATCCATCTTAATAGCTGGTCATTAATATAAAGGGAAAATAATTAATTGCTGAAACACATTGTATCGCCCCATGCCGAAGTGTCTTACTGCTTTTCTAAAGAGGCAAGAGAAAGGGTTTCTTGTAACAGTGTAGTGTTTTTGGAACCAACAGAAACAATATACATTACATTCACACTCGTGACAAAGAAACATATACTGAATCTCTATAAATATGAATTTCAGTTACAGAGATTCAACATCTGTTTCTTACAACACATTGGGCATAATTCATAGCTATTTGTACACAGCACAGTCAATGTGTCTATTTTCTATTAT